GTGGAACAGTGATTCCCAGCGGCTGGTGAAGGAGGGATGGGAGTCAGCATTGAATAGGGGACGGAGTTTCAATTTGGGATGATGAACGATTTCCAGAGGTGGATGGTGGTGATGGTTGTACAACAATGTACATGTACTTAATACCATGAACTATACATCAAAAAGTAGTTAAGATGGTAAATTTTAATTTATGTATATTTTACCATGATTTTTTTAAAAAGGATCAATACCGAGGCAGCTAATGGATCTGTATTCAGCCCTGACAAAGGGGGGAAAATACTAAATTATGCTGAAGTCTGCCCCAATGTGTGCATACTGACGGAATCTTCAACTAACAATAATGGTGTATTCAACACGTTAGCATCACATCTGAGCTTTCAAGTGAGGTCTAGGACACTGGCATGAGGAGTTTTACAGATCTATTTTTCTGAAGATTTTAGAGCATTCCAAAGAGGCTATTTCATAGGCTGACACAGAAAGCCATAACCTCTTAAGGTTTGATGTGAAAAACAAAGAACAACAGAAATTTGCTTTGCCTACCTTTGCTGCACTAACAAACTTTTCAAAAGGAACTGAAAAAGTTTTGACCTGTGCTCTTTCACACCTTGAAAAATTCTTCTAAGCACACACTCTTTCACTACCCTAACTTTTTCATAGGGGGTTGGTATAACTCCAGTTCCGAAAAATGACAGGGATACTATAAAAACAGGAAAATTATGAGGCCATCTCACTTGTACCTTTCTAAACCAAATATTAATAAACTCATTCCAGCAATATGGAAAAAAGATAATATTTTGCACTTAACTAAAGACAGTTCATGAATGCAAGATCAGTTTAATATTTAAAAATCAATTAGCCAACCAAGTAATCACTAAATGAAAGTTACGAAATTAACAGAATAGAGGAGAAAAAAATCATACAAATATCTCAATATACGCAGAAAAAAAGCAGTTGAAGAAACGCAATGCCCATTGTCGATAAAAACTCTTGGCAAACTAAAAATAGAGAAGAACTTCCTTCATCAACCAAAGGGTATTGACAAAAACCCTACAGCAAACACCAGACGTGGTGGTGAAAGGTTGAAAGCTTGCCTTCCGGGACTGGAATAAGACACGGATGTTCTATCACTACTTCTACTGTACTGGTGCTCTAACCAGGTTGGCAAGGCAAGAAAAGACGTGAGTAAAATGCATGTGTAAAGGAAATAAGAAATACAAATCTTATTTACAAGTAATGCTTTTTGTGTGAAGAAAAGCCAAAGGATCTTACATATACATGTTTAGAACTAATAAATTCCATCAATACTGACATAGATATAAATGAAATGAATAGGACATCAGGGGTGCACATCCCAGAAAATATTTTGTGTCTTCTGGAAACGGGAGGTGGGTAAGCGAAATAAGAGTGTATGATTTGATTTGAGAATGGCTGAAGTTGGGTGATAGGTACAGGGAGTCTGCTATAGCCTTCTACCTATTTTTGTATCTGTTCAGAAGTTTTTATAATAAAAAAATAAGTAAGATTGGCTGCTGGATACAAGGTCAACAGACAAAAATCAATTACAGTTCTCTAAATCAGTAAAAGGAGCTAGAAAATATTTTTAATATACCATTTGCAACAGCATTAAAACATCAAGTGGCTAGATATATTTCTAATAGAAAAGCACAAGACAGAAGATTGTAACCATTACTCAGAGAAACTGGAGAAGACATAAATAAATGGAGGGGTATACCATGTTCATGGATTGGAAGACTCAATGCTGTAAAAACGTCAATTCTTCCCCTAAATCATCCAGAGATTAACTGCAGTGCCTGTTGAAATCCCAAAGGCCTGTGTGTGTGTGTGTGTGTAGCTTGAGAGACTAATTAAAATAGAGGGCTAAGGACTAGGAAAAGCCAAGATCTTGAAGGAGAAGTACAAGGTGAAAAGATCTGCTCTACCAGATATGAAACTTTTAAGAAACTACAATAATCCAGACAATGTGATGCTGATACAAAGATAGAAAAAAAGACCAGTGGAATAGAATCAATAGCCAAAGAGAGACCTTTATATGTCCAACCTCTGCTATTTGGGAAGGAGTACACTGCAGAGTGGTGAGGAAGGAACAGTCTTCCCAATGAATTACGCCCAGGCAGTGGCACATCCATATGGGAGAAGTCTCACATAAAATCTAAAACTAAACTCCAAAAAGACTTTAGATTAAAATATGAAAGGAAAACAGTAAAATATCTAGAAGACAGCATAGCAGAAGTTTCATGGCCTGCCATCAGCAAATGTGTTGTTAAACACATAAAGAGCACAAATGATAAAAGAAAAGATTTTATACATTGGATCACATAAAAATAAAAATTTCTGCTTATCAAAGACACGAATCAGTGAATGAAAATATAAGCCAGAGAGTAGAAGATACTTGCGACATACATAAACAACAAAGGGTGGAGGGTATAGCTCAGTGGTAGAGCGCGTGCCTAGCATGCATGAGGTCCTGGGTTCAATCCCCAGTGCCTCCATTAAAAAAATAAATAAATACAGCACAATGTCTCAGTCATGCACATACATACATATATTCATCTGTACACCAGAAATTGACACATTGTAACTGACTGTACTTCAGTAAAAATAAATAAATAAACAAATAAACCTAATTATCTTCCCCAATCAAAATTTTAAAAATAAATAAAATACTTCAAATAAATTTAAAACAACAACAAAGGGCCTAAGTCAAGAACGTAAGGATTCCAAATCAGGAAGAAACATAAAGATAACTCAGGAAGAAAGTGAGCAAGTGTCTGATGGGCACTCGTTAATTAGATGGCCAATAGTGAGTAGTAGAATGATTTGAAATAATTTGTAATAGTTGTCCCCATCTCAGAGGGGATGAAACACCACAGATAGAATAAAGTAAAATTAAACATCTTAAAAATACACACCGAGCATCCAGGTGAGCAAACTTCCTGACACGGACCCTCTGCTCATAAAATCTCACTTTCCTGGCTCTTGACCACTGAACCCATGCATAATGAAATAAGGGTTTCTCCTTCTAAGTCAACTGACTTGTAAGAGTTATTTGATGTCTGGAAAGTCTTTTGGCTCTTTTTTCAAACCTTCTGATGCCTTTTTTGTTAAAAATTTTCATTTTTTTTAAAGACTACGTTCAGCACTGACTTCACAATAGATTCTGATCTGATGAGATCAGTTCCCTGCCTGAGGTCATAGGGCTCCCTTTAGCCCTTCAGTAACAGTAATAATTAAAATGTATCTGAGCCATTTTTAACATAAAACTCTCATGCATTTTCCCCAAGCATACTGAAGGTTTATAAATTAATTAAAAATAATAGTCATAGCAGTAGTCAAAAGTTATGCACCGCAGACGTATGATACAGTAAAGATTTGTTTACGAACATCACATCGCTTCAATTCTGTTCCATTTCCATCAAGTTTCTAGGCATTTATCAAGAATTACCAGCCTAAAAAATAACAGAGTCCACAGACAAAGAAAACGAACTTATGGTTACCAAAGGGGAAAGAGGGGGAGGGACAAATTAGGAGTTTGGGATTAATGGATACACATCACTATATATAAAATAAACAAACAACAAGGACCTACTGTATAGCACAGGGAATTATATTCAGTATCTTATAATAAACTATGATGGAAGACATAGAAAACAAACCTACGGTTACCAAAGGGAAAGAGGGGAGAAGGATATATCGGGAGTTTGGGATTAGCAGATACAAACTACTACATATGGAATAGGTAAAGAAGGTCCTACTGTATGGCCCAGGGAACTACATTCAATAACCTGCAATAACTTATAATGAAAAGAATATGAAAAAGAATATATATATGTATAACTGGATCACCATGCTGTATACCAGAAACTAACACACACTGTAAATCAATTAAACTTCAGTAGAAGAATAAAATTTTTAATGTGAAAAAAATAATAATATTTGTTGACACGTATGTGGAGAAATCAGAACCCTTGTGCACTGCATATGGACATGTAAAATGGTGCAGCTGCTCGGTAAGCAGAATGGTGACTCCTCAAAAAATTAAACAGAGAACTGCCATGTAATCCAGAAATTCCACTCCTGGGTCCAGACCCCAGAGAACTGAAAGCAGAGACTTGAAGAGGTCTATGGATATCCACGTTCACAGCAGCATTATTCACAACAGCCAAAAAGTGGACACAACCCAAAATGCCCACTGACGAATGAATGGATAAACAAAATGTGGTCTATACATACAATGGAATATTGTGCAGCCTAGAGAGGAAGGAAATTCTGACCCACGCTGCAACATGGATGAACCCTGAGGACATGATGCTGAGTGAAGTAAGCCAGACTCAAAAGGACAAACGTCGTATGATTCCACTTACAGGAGGCACCCAGCGGGGTGAGATTCACAGAGACAGTAGAACTGGGGGGTGGGGGGAGTTAGTGTTTAACAGGGACAGAGTTTCAGTCTGGGGAGGTGATCTGGTTTAGGAGATGACGGTGGGGGTGATGGCTGCACAACAGTGTGGATGTCCTTGGTGCTACTGAACTGTACACTTTCAACTGGTTAAAATGGTAAATTTTATGTCGTGTGTATCTTAACCACAACGAAAAAGGTAAAGCAAAAATAGAAAAAAGAAGGACCAACTTAGATGATTATAACAATGTTGCCCTAGTGAGGCTGGTGTCAGCATTAAGAGGGGACACATGAACAGCCCTTGAACAGTGCCCAATACTGTCGTCAGCACACACACAAAACCACCATTCCCAGCACAATCACCATGGCCACGAATTTCCCTACAGGCACGTTTTACTCCTTCGCGCCACTATTTTAAAGGCGAAATGTTCCAGGTGTCATGTGAAGTCATCTCAATAGATGGCTCTCTGGCACTTGTACCTTCCTCAAGGGAACCATGCCGGCCCTGCTGGAGAGCAGACTCCAGGACTGTCAAGGTCCCGCGGAGCCCAAACCACAGGACCCGGAACCAGGCAAGTCCTACCTCCACTGCTCCTCCGCCCGCGTCCGGAGCCCCGCCAGCGCTGTCTTGGATCGTTCACAGTAACTCGCTCTGAAAGAGAACAGAAAATGCAGGTTAAAATAATAAATGATTTTCAGTCCATAAAACACTCAGTACCCACAGATCAATGCTCTCAAGCAGTTCTGTTTTTCAGTCCGAGGACTGACTCTGGCGCAGGCGCACTGCCTCCGTTCATGGCGAGGAAACTCAACCTGGCAGCAGGCAAGCGCCTCAACCGGCGGGAGACAGCGTGTCCTCGAGGAAACAGAGAACACCCAAGCCCCTGACTCGGGGCTCTGCAATTTGCAATATATACTTCAAAAATCAGAAATAAATCTATTTTTTTTACATCGAAGGCAAAAGGAAATAGAGAATAGAGACACTGATTTGTCAAACTCTGAGATGAAGTGCTTGTAACACAAAATTTGACACCCTGAACTTTGATACGTTCAGGAAATTATACACTGCGTGAGGCCCGGCCAAAGCCTCATGAATTCTACTCATCACTGCGGACGGCCCCAAAATACAGCTATTTGTTTAAGAGATCCAGGCAAACCTGCAGACAGCGGAAACAAGCAAACTTCAGAAGAACTGTTTTTAAGACAACTCTGTCCAACCTCAAAGAAACACAGAAAGAAACAGATCTAAAAATCCCTGTATCAAAAACATAAAATGGACCAGGGGGACACACAGCCCTGGAGGAGGAGCCAACGGGTAAGCCAGGGCCAGGTGGGTTCTCAAATGGGGACGCCAGGCACCTGGGCTGAGCTACCATCTCCAGGTCGGGTCTCCGAACAGCCCAACATAATGTACCTTTGCAGAGATCAAGTCGTCATGTGGAGTAATTCTGATACTGGCATCAAAAGCTTCCTAATTAATCTCTTTAACACTGTAGTTTCAAAGAATAAAGTAAAGGCCACCAGAGACCAAAGAAAAAGAAAACACAGTCAAGTTATTACCTCCTGGCCAGGCAAGGAGACACACGTCAGTAAAGAAACCCACTGAGGAGTCGTCTCCAGGGGCAAGTCAGGGGTCGACAGTGGCGGGGTCAGGTGTGCCAGCTACGTTAACTCGGGCATGAGAGCTAGCACCCTGCAGAGGGAGTCCATGGTACAAGGCTGGTCAAAACAAGCCCCACTGTCCACTGGTCAAGAAACCGTCTTCGGTGACGCCCAGTTAAGGTCTGTGGTACAAGGACGCCTCGAAGTTCATGGTGCTTTAACCAAGTCAGTTGGTTAGAACCAGTTCTGACGAAACACAGTATTTAGCTTTGGCAAATTCTGACAGAAATGGAAAATGTTCCTCACACGTAGGTTGTAACAACCACACGCAATGCAGGACATCGGAGTGGACGCTCATTTGCAGAACCAGCAGTGAGGACATTTGTGGAAAGTCTAAATATGGGTGGGGTTGTCCACGAGAAGAAAACCTATTGAAATGGGAATGGCTGGCTGACAAAATAGGTCCCCAAACAGCATGTACCGTGTGATACATTTTGATAATAATAATGATAATGGACTTACGGGTGCACGTAGAAGACCCAGCGGATGTGCACGGTGTTAGTAGCGAGTTGGGGTAAAGAAGGTGAGCTAGGCTTTTTTTTCTTTCTTTTTTTTAAATTGCTGTATAATACTGTGTTAGTTTTAGGTGTACAGCAAAGTGATTCGGTTATACATATATATGTATATACATTCTTTTCTCATTTTTTCTATTATAGTTTATTACAAGATACTGCATACAGTTTCCTGTGCTAAACAGTAGGACCTTGTTGTTTATCTATTTTATGTATAGTAGTTAGTATCTGTAAATCACAAACTCCCAATTTATCCCTCCCCACCCCCTTCCCCTTTGGTAACCATAAGTTTGTGTTCTATGTCTGTGAGTCTGTTTCTGGTTTGTAAATAAGTTGATTTACATTTTTTAGATTCCACATATAAGTGATACCATATGATATTTGTGTCTTTCTCTGTCTGATTTACTTCACCCAGTATGATAATCTCTGGGTTCATCCATGTTGCTGCAAATAGCAAAATTTCATTCTTTTTTATGGCTGAGTAGTATTCCATTATATATATACATATTCACATCTTCTTTATCCAGTCATCTGCTGACGGACATTCATGTTGTTTCCATGTGTTTGCTATTATATATGGTGCTGCTGTGAACACTGGGATGCATTATTATTTTTTTGAATTAGAGTTTTCCTCTTTTCCAGATACATGCCCAAGAGTGGGATTACTGGATCATACGGTAACTCTATTTTTAGTTTTTTAAGGCACCTCCATATTTGGGGATAGGTTTTAATTTTTATTTTTGCTCTACTTTCTGATTTTCTACAACGACCACCTGCCATTCCTATTATAGTAAAAACTTATTACTATGGACTGTTGCAGTGTGAACAAGCTCGCTTTTATTTACCCTGAGGATCTACAGCAGAAAGGTGCTCTGAGATCACGTTGGCCTCCGGACAGACAGAAATGACAGCTTGACTCCCGATACCTGAGGGGTTTTTGCCTCAAATCTACAGCTCTGGCCTCACCACATGACAGCCCCCAATGAGTCAGATCTGAAGGTGATTACAGAACACTAAGAAAATGCTGGGAACGTGCCCAGTTCTTCTTACCACCCACATGAATGCCTGGAAGGTCGGCGCTACCCTGGGCATCCTCGGGCCGCAGCGAGCCAGCCAGTCACACGGAACCGCGTGGGCGCTGACACCAGCACGAGGAATCAGAGACCAAGAACAAAGCAGTGGGTGACTGTCAGGCTTCCTAACTCTCAGGGTCAAAAACTAGGTTTCATGACAGGGAGACAAAACTCCCACTGATTTATCTTTCCTTTATCCTGTAACCGGGGATTTCAAGTCTATTTCGTGACTCTATCTGTAATTGCTGGGTGGAGAGTTTTTAAAAATGCACAGGAATGTCTTTTCTAAACCAAATCAGAGCCGTAATTTGCAAATCCTAAGAGACCAAGCAGGATGGTAAGGGCAGACCCCTGGTTTATCAAGAATAAGGAGGGGGCAAAGTTCAAAGATACGGGAAAATCAAAATAGGCAAGTACCGGATAGTATTAACTTAAATAAACCAAAAGTAGGGTTAAATAGGCCGCTGATGTGAAGAGGTTACATCATTACTCAACTTCAGCCTTCTGAAACAATGGAGAAATGTGAATAAAATTACCTCCTAGCATAAATCATTCTTACCCAACCCAAATCCCAGGGAGGACTAGGGAACTGCCGACTTGTACAATCTGAGATGGATGAGTTCCCCGGGCTTCCAGCAGGAGCAGCAAAGATCAGCCTGGCCTCCCCGCAGAGACGCAGGCAACGAGAAAGGACCCTCTGGAACATCCCACAGAGAGAAAGCTCCTGTTGAATTTAATATTACGTCATTTTAAGACTACAAAATGGCCATGAAAGGGGTAAATTAGGAGTTTGGGATAACAGACACACACTACTACATATGAAATAGATAAACAAGGCCCTACTGTACAGCACAGGGAACTCTATTCAGTTTCTTATAATAACCTATAATGGAAAAGAATCTGAAAAAAATATACATGCATATGTACAACCAAATCGCTCTGCCGTACACCTGGAAGTAACATTGCAAATCAACTACACTTCAACACAAAATAAAATTAAGAAGAAGAATATAAAGTGGAATATAAAAAGTGACATCCTTTATGCCAATTGTGTTTTTTTTTAAAGGTAATAACACATGGTTAAATAAAAAGGTTCCCTCCCAAATTTATAACAAAAACGTATCTATCTTCTCCACGGACTTTGTCCAGGGTCATTATTTCAAGCTTCTTTCAAGTCACGGTACAGGTAACACGTACACTCGTTAGATTATGAGCTTGGATGATGGAAACTTGTATATTAGTTTTTTTCTATCCAAGTCTATAGTAAGGGTCCAATAAATGCTAAAGTCATCATTTTTGTTTGCTTCTCTAGTAATTTATTCTTCAGAATTTTCAGATCATACAGAGGCTATGCCCCAACTAAACAGAGCTGTGACTTACCAAAGCGTATGTGCTTACGTAACATGACAGTTAAGTTTTTATTTTAGGACACTCTCAATATAACTCCCGGAAAAGTCTAACAAAAAGAGGCCTAGATCAGGTTTCAACGCACGGAGTGAAGTCATCTAGCTGCTTATTCAGGGGAAAGTTGGAAGTAGAAGAGCCACAACCGTGAGACACCACAGCATACGTCTGAGAACAACTGAAGTCCCCCGAACTGACAACATCCACTGCTGGCCAGGGCGGAAGCAGCGGGACCTCTCATTCGTTGCTGGTGGGAATGCAAAACAGGACTGCAGTTTGAAAGATGGCCGGACAGTTTCTCACAGAGCTGAACACAGTCTTGTGACTCTGCCATCATGTTTCTAGGTATTCATCCAACTTACGTCCACAACAACCACCTTTATGTGAACGTGTACAGCGCCTTTAGTCATCACTGTCAAACACAAGGAGCACCCAAAAAATATGATTCAATAGGTGAATGGATAAACAAACTGCAGTACATCCGAGCACTGGAATATTACTCAGGGATGAAAAGAAATGGGCTATCAAGCCACCAAAAGACACGGTTGAGTCTTAGTCCCTATAACTAAGGGAAAGCATCCAGACAGAAGATGCTACACACTGTCCGCTTCCAGTCGTAGGACATTTTGGAAAAGGCAAAACTGTAACAAAGGTAGAGATGAGTGCTGACAAGGGTTTGGGGAGGCTCTGAATAGGCAAAGCACGGGAGGTTTTTTTTTTTAGGGAGGTTAAACTATTCTCTATTATGCCATAATTGTGACTTACCAAATCATACATGCTTACATAACAGTTTATACAACACTACATGCACACATATATACATAGCAACGGAGCACAGTGACTTGCGGGCTTTGAACAGAAGTCTTAAACTATGAATGTTAGTCTGGATAACCCGGATATCATGAGCCAGGTCACAGACAATCCGGGCCCAGGAAGGCAAAGGTGTTTCCTTCTCGGGTCTTCTAAACCCGTTTGGGATCAAGGCAAACTATTTTGTTCCCTAACCAGCCTCGGCCATCCACCCCCCGCCCCCCCAGTCTCCTCCGAATCCTCCTGGTTGTTAAACTCCATTAGCAGGACTTAGGGAGTCTACCACCCTTTCTTGGGAGGAGGTGCTCTTTGCAATTGCCTTATACAAAGTAAGTCCTCCATACATGTTTGTTCTGAAGGTCTGTCACATATTACCTGACCCTTGCAGGGCCTCTTATCCTGCCTTCATCACTAGCCAGTGGATGCGAAAATCCCTCCGGATAGCTCCAGGCTGGGTGACTGATAATATGCAAAAGAAAACATCTTAACTTGGAACCAGAAATTTGCATATGATTGCCCCCTCTCCCCTGCTGTCAGCACCTGCCTTCCTAATGGGGGCTGGAGGGGGGCATGTGGAAGGGAAGCTCCGAGCTTACACTTCTCTGGGGACCCTCAGGCTGACTTCTGAGACCCCCCCAAACCCTCTTCACCTCGCACTTTATCAACTTAGTACATTTCAAGTTTGGTTTCTGAGTGAATGAGACTAAACAAGGAGCTAAAAGTCCCCCGATTACTAGAAGAACAGGCACTGCTTAGATCCGAGTGTTCAGACGTGCAGGTCACTGCTGCAGCCTGGAGACCTGCTCCCTCAAACATAGATGACATTCCCCAAGTGCTGAAGCCAAAGAAGGACTTGAAGACGACAGTACAGAATCACCCAGAATTCATGGAAAATCTGTAAACCCTGGAGCTTTGCCTTCTAGCCAGACACCAGGCAGTGGCTTAAAGGAAAGAGCCGTCTCGTTGAGGGCATGCTGCCCCGGTGGCCTCAGTGGCACATTGCGGGCTCACCCCCAACGAATAATAACATGACAGTGCTGTCCCTGCCAGGAGCTCAGTCCCTCCCCAGCTCGCGAGCCCGCGCGCAACACCACCAGCCACCACTCCCTGCGATGCTGCGGCCCCGTCCTGTGGGGTTCCTGGACGGCAGGCCGGGTCACAGGCAGACGGCATCTGGGAGACCGCCCCCACTGACAGGTCGCTGAGAGCCGGGAACGCGGGCTGCTGGTGGTCGTTCCTACTGGGAGGAGCTTTTCCTTTGCTGGGACTATTCTCTTTGAGGGAGACGCCCAAAACGGGCGCCGGCTTGAAGTCAGACGGAATTATACCTGAGTCTGAACCTGTGATAAACACATACATACGTGTAACACACTGAAGTCACAGCAAAAATCGAATAGTCAAAGGGGGGAGGGCATAGCTCAGTGGTGGAGCATGTGCCTAGCATGCACGAGGTCCTGGGTTCAATCCCCAGTCTCTCCATTAAAAATAAATAAATAAATATACCCAACCCCCCCCGACAAAAATCGGACAGTCAGTAACATTGACATTTCGTAAGCTTCATAAGAAGAAACAGAACGTTACAGATCCACTTGAAAAGTCCCCATTCCCCGCCCTTCCGTCCCTCCCCGGAGGTAGCTACTAGCCTGAATTTGGGGATTACGTGTCTTCCCCATCCCTGTTCTTACACTTTAATCATGTCTCTATCCACAAACAACACGGAGCAGTACTTAGGGTGTCTTTAATCTGCATACATCGCACTGTAAACACCAAAACGAAGACCTACTCTCGGCAGTTGTTTTAACAATTAGAGGAGGGGCATCATGTTTTACCTGTTTTAAATTCATTATTTCAAATGTAATTACCTTGTCAAAGATACTACCTGCACACAGAACTAAAGCCAAAGGGCAAGATACACTGCAAAGCCCTCTCTTTTCCTCTGCACCTGCCCAACCACACGGTTCTTCCCAAAGCGACCTCCTCCGCCTGCACCTACGTGGCTATAAGGGAAAAGTGTGTCCACGTTTTGTGCGGCCTTTTTAAAACTGAGGGAACTGCCCATGTAAGCTCTGTCCCTCTGCCTTTCAAGAGAACGCTCCCCCTCTCCCTAGGATCCCTCCTGAAGGTCCCTCCCCCCGCCACGCCTGCCCTAGGGAGCGTGTCCTTCCCCAGGAGACTTTCGACCCCTCTCCAAGGCAGAGAGTTGATAACGATGTGGAGGCCACTGAGTTCAATTAGCCAAGGTGCCTTTGTCTGTTGAAGCGAGAAAGGCGTATGGATAAAGAACGCAGCACGTGATAACATACAATCACTAATTTCTCCCCGGGGGCTAAGATTTAGGCCAAAATCAGATTGCTCGTGGAAGAAAAACTAAAACTAAAACTGCAACCCCCATGAAAGGCCTGGAGGACTGGAGAACAGTTACTCTCCTGTGAAGAGACTCTGAACCCCTTACACCCTCAAAAAGTGGGCACGCCTGGCATTCTCCTTATTCCCTGCTAGATGTGCATTTTCTACTGCCATTCACAGTGTCTGCTAGACAGTGTTAATCCATACCTATGTCTAAAAACTGCAAAGTATTTACAAGTTGCAAACCCCTTGGTACTGGAAAGCCTCTGATGGGCCTTCAAAACTGTCCAGCTCTCTCCGCCACCTTCCCAGGCCCCACGATGCTGGGTGTGAACGTCCTGGCTGACGCTCTCACGCACATCAACCGCTCCTTAAAGAGAGGCAATCCCCAGGATGCTATCAGGCAGTGCTCAAAAGCCGTGGTCAGGCCCCCGCTGTGATGGGGAAGGGTGGTTACACTGGCGCATTTGAAACCATCAATGACCATGGAGCTGGATAAATTGTTCCAAACCCGATGGGCCCAGATCTGACGTGCAGCTCAAAGCTCTCAAGAAAATGGCAGAATAACCTGCTCCCATCTCTTCAGTGTGGTTTCCACTCTGCTACCAACCCCAGCGGGCATCACGGACCACGTGGAAGCAAGATGAAAATACACAGGAGGAAAAATCCTGGGACCCTCTGGCTAGGGATATAATACGTATGTGTAAATAAAATGCCTCAATGGAAAACAAACAAACTTGTCTAGTGTAAACGACACCTCCCAGTTGATCACCAGGCTGTTCACAGAACAATCTTTCACACACCCATTGGCAGCATTCCAAGCACTTAGGCAGATGCCTTGGGGAGCACAGAAAATAGTATTTTTCCAAAGTCCTATTCCCCTTGATATTAAAAACCTTCATCATTTCAGAGAAATTGTATCTCATTCTTCTTAAACCACTTTTCTCCCTGAAATCAGCTGTCCTGTCCTGCCCAGGAGATCTTTGTTACTGTCCTAAGCCTGCACTGTCCAATACAATACTAGCTACATATAACTATTGAAATTTAAGTTAACTAAAATTTAGTAAGATTTAAAATTGTGTTCCTCAGTCATGCTGGCTGCATTAAAAGTGCCCAGTAGAAGGCAACTTTTTATTTTTCCTTCTGTTAACAGGAAGTTAGTGGCTACCGTATTACACAGCACAGATAGCCATCATCACTAGAAAAGTGATGAAAAGTTCTTTTCAAACAGCACCACTCCAAAGGCACCTTTCTATTTTTCCTTCCTCTTTTAATCAGGAAGTTACATTTCGGCATAAAGTAAATGAGTTTTCAAAAAGCTAGAGGTTACCAGATTGTTTCAAATGGCAGAAAATCTAAACCATAATAAACTAAGACAAGACTTCTCTGCCCATTTCTGCTGGCTGAACACCAAGTCATCTTTCAAGATTCAGCCCTCCCCCAAAAGGCTTTCCTGACTCAGTTCAACCCCCAAGGGCCTCAACAAAAATGATCGCTGTCTCCCTCACGGAACTCTGTACGTAGGGTCCAGCAAGATTCCCAAATAAAAAAATACTTTTTTTTCTACTTCACTGTCTCTACCTCTATCTTTATATCCTTAAGAGAAGGGACCTTAGCCCATCGGTCATTATAACTGTAGTGACATGGTTAAAAGTAAATCAAGACACTGGCTACATGTCCTGGGCACCAGGTTGTACCAGGAACATTGCTAGACTCTGGAGCGGTGGGTCGATATCCAGAAGCCATTCCCATCCCCCAGGAGCTCACAACCTGGCATTTATTTTCTCAAAATGGGTTCAAGGTGTCATATGAACTCACTGAGTAGGACTCTGCTCTCCTAGAGAAATAAGGAGCATTCCACAAATTAAAGAATTCTTAAAATTAGTACGTGCCCCAAATAAGGAAAGAATCAGGAACCATCACAGCCAAGAGAGACTCCAGAGAGGTGACAACTAAATGTAACGTTGGGTCCCGGATGGGACCCTGGAACAGAATAAAGACATCAGATAAAAACTCGGGAATGTGAGTAGAGACATCAGTTCATGACAACGTGTCACTCTTGGGTCATTCACGTCACAATGTCGTGACAAATTACACTAAGGGTAAGATATTAACATGGGGAAACGGTCGGGGGTACACAGAGACTCCGTGCACTACTTTGCCAACATTTCTGTAAATCTAAAAAGATTCTGAAATGAAAAGTGTGTTAAAGAAAAAAAATTAATGTTCATCAAATAAACGCCGTTTCATCCTCATGAGGAAAGATTCTGGCATGAACTGAGGCTAATGCAAAACATCCTGGAGGCCGGGAAGTACCTGTAGCACGACGCCACGCCACCCACGTCCCCGTCGCGAAGGCGTGCTTGGCCCGCTGCGGTCACACGGCGCCGTCCTTCGCGAACGGTCCCCGCTCTCTGCACGGAAATTATTTTCTTGTTTTCAGCCTGGTCCCTTTTTCAACAGTTTGCAAGAGGCTATGAAAAAGTCAACCTGTGACAGCGCGGGGAGGGGTGACGTCGGGAGCGACGGACGGAACGCAGAGCCAGTGGAATCGGGGAGGCCGCGGGTCCCCC